CCTCCCCAGGCGGGAGGGGTCCCAGTGTGGCTGCTTCTCACACGGCAGCCCCGAGTCCTGCCTGACTTCGGTGCGGCTTGGGAGCTCTCTGGTTGGTTATTCCTCATCCGTTTACTTTTCCACTTCCAGAGCTGCATGCCACCATTCCTCCTCTTCTCTGTGTCTTGTGGGTTTCTGTTTTAAAATAACAAAAACAGAAAGTACATATTTTATTTAGTGTTGGGTGAGTTTGTGGAAAGGAATGAAATTGGATAAATTTATTGTAAAAAGTCATTGAAATGTAGTCATGAGAAAGAGAAGAGATGGAAAGTCCTTAGAGTGATATCACTGTTGGGAGGTAGCTGCTGCGGTCACTTGGGGCGTGTCCTTCCGCCTATGTGTGCAGGCACAGGCGGCAGGTGGCTCTGGGCTGTGTACAGCCTAAGCATCCCGAGTTCAAAAATCTGAATCTGAAGACGTTTGCACTCTGGCGTGGTGCCCAGAGGTCATACTCTTAGAAAATGCTGTTTCTGGATTAGATATGCTCAACCCAGAGAGTAATGTAAACATCCCGAGATTCCAAGCGTTTCTGGGGAGGGAGGCATGCTGGCAGTGCGCTGTGCACAGTGATCGGCATGTAGAGCCCGTAGCGCTTTTTCCAACTAACGCTGTGCGTCCTGTGTGGTCTGTGGACGTTTTCAGTCTGTTTTTGCAGCAGTGCCACCCCAGAATGACCACTGGAGTAAAGAAGGCTTACGTGACAGCACTCAGTGAAAGAAGAAACCGCTGCTACTGCCTTGACCCCATGCTGCAGCGTCCTGTCCTCCGTGGCATCCTGTCTGCTCCTCTTGCTGACTCCATCGTCTGTGTGTCACCCGTGTTACCGCCTCCAGCCCACAGAGGGCAGGTGTGCTGCACTTGAACCTTCAAGGTTCGGTTTTACAGTCTGAGTCAGGCGATGAGGTAAGCAGCCTCTCCCTTGAGAGAAGCAGCTTCATGCGGGTACGGGAGCCCCGCCAGGAATCCTGCATGACTCACGCCCTCCTCTGGCCCATCTGGTGGCTTCTGTGCATGTGGGTTCTGTCCTGTAGGTGCACAGGAGCCTGGCGTGTCCCCACCCACCTGTGCCTGCCTGCTTGTCCAGCCTCCTTGCCATCCCTCAAGGTCATGGCGCATGGATCAGCTGCCTAGTCACCAGAAGCAGGTCATCCTGCATTTGTGCTTAAGAGTTGGCCTGGGTTTCAGTCTGGAGACCTTTGAAGTTTGTGCAGAAGTCGTCGGCGTGAAGCTTCGACATAACTGAGTTTGCCGAATATGAGTGCTTTGTTCTTAGGATGAAAGACACACTTCAGAAAAAAGAAATTAGAATTGGATTAGCGCACCCTGTTTGACATTGAAGTCAGGATTGTGCTGTGGAGCAATGAGAAGAGCAGATTGGGAGGCAGATGTGGGGATTCCATAGAGGATCTCTGAAGTTCAGGGACAGAGGAGGACACGTGTGTGCGCTGGGGCCGAGACTCACTGTCATGCTGTTGAGGCGGAGAGTGAGTGAGACAGTCCTCAGGACTTCCAGGCCTTAAAAGCAGTGCATTTAGAGATAAAGTCCTGCACGTGCATATCGCCACGGTCGTTTAAAAAATGTTAACGTCTGTTGAACTGCTGTGGAAGGGCAGACGTTCGCAGCCAGTTGGGTGTAATTTGCTAGCTTTACAAAAAAGAACATTAAAAGAACTGCGAAGGGTCGATTCCAGCGAGATGCTGAGGACTTTCAAGTACTGACTGGAAAGCCCACGTTTCTTTTATTACTCATAGCTGTGCAGTAAATATCAGTAAGAAACGCTCATACGCTTGGTGCCCATTCTGAGGCCTTCTCCACTGAATGGGAGAAGGGTAGGATGTTCTGCTTACTGGAGTGAGGAGAGGGGCTGTGTGTTACGTCTAGTGAAAATAAAATAATAGGTTAAAATTTCATTCCAAGGAATCTAGAACAGTCTATCTGATAGCATCGTGAGCAGCCATGCAGGGTTTGCATTAACTCTGTGCAGCCCTGTCCCTCAAAGCTGATACTATAATTGCATAATTACTTTTCCGTCAGAAAACACATTGGAAAAGATATCTATGACATTTGAATCCAAAGAGAATATACGAGCATGAGTATGTACTGCTACTAACCCCAAATGCTAACGTCTCGACGCCATGGTTCCTGCATGAGGGGCTGAGGGTAGATAGACGGGGAGAAGCACTGGGAAGCGTTCTGCACGTTTATCTCCGTACAGAGATCATGATTGGTCGTGAGCAGGCGCCGAGTAGGCCACTGTCCACATGCCTGTCTGTCCTTGCTTCTGGTAAGGAGAGTGATCATTATAGACTTTACATTTTATTGCCGTTACTCGGAGAGGTAGTTTCAGTTCATTTCATGAAGGGTGACTGCATGAGGAATGATTTTCTTTTGATTTTAAAATATGAAAATGTTTGAGGTTCTTGATACAGTGATTTGGAAAATAATAATAAATGCAGAGGATTCATAATATAGACTTTAATGTCAGGAATAATGGAATTGTAAAGGTCTCTTAGGCAAGAGAGAACAGAGTAGCGAGTCGTAGAATTAATGTGAGTTGATCATGGCAACCAGAGCCAAAGTACAAACCTATGGAAGACAGACTCTGTTTTAAGAGGATCAATTTAGTATTTGTGGTAAATTGGAATCGGGATATAGAAGCAGTGAGGTCCATTTAGTTGCTTTTTTGAATGGAACTCTATTTGATATATACATTTAATATGTATTTGTTTATAAAATATTTTATCTCATAACACCAGGCTTGAACTTTTTGATAGAAGGAAAACATTGGGACTTTTTCAAAGCTATGTTTTTCAAGAAGCTGCTGCTGGCCTCTTACCATGGTGCTATTTAGAAGGTAAAGTTTTTTGTTGGTTTTTTGTTTTGTTTTGTTTTTGCAAAAAGCCCCTTTGTCCTTCTGAGCTTGACAGAGTGAACTCTGGGGCTTGAGCTGGCTGTACATTCTTCAGGCAGATATTCTTGTGTTCTTCCTCAAGCCAAGTAAACAATGACAAAGGGAGTGGACACGCCACAATATAGAGTATTAGAGAATCTGTCATTTCAGATGAATTCAGTGTGTGAAGCTTTGAGCACTTTTGAAGAATCCTTGCCGTTAAGTGTAGGATTGTTAGGGTTTGAATTTGGAGATGCCTCGTGAATGTGGCCGTAGGAGTTGTCGTGTGCATGCGCGGCGCGTGCGCTGTAAGCATGCTTTCCTAATCCTAATTCACCCAAGAATCTGGTGCTCCAGGGTTAGGCAGTGCATTGAGGTTGTGCATAGTAATTTGTATTATTTTTTAACCTATCTAGTACTTTAATGTACCTATTTTAGTCCACAAGGACTTACTAAGAAAAAGCGCAGATTGTCAAAGCTATCTTCTAATTGGCATTTGCATTTCAACTGGCGGTAGCTTGGGAGTCCCTGAGCTCCTTAATGGACTGGGGCTTGCTGCTGGGCTCTAGGCTCTTCTGAAGTAGCCGTGTTGTCATGGTCACCCGGGATGGGGAGCTCACTTCAGATGCTGTTCCGCTCACGTTTCCGGCATATGATGCATTTAGAAGTCATCGTCTTGGTGCCAGTGGTCATGCTGGTTGGGGGGTGGGGCTGGGGTCTGTGGCCTTCTGCAGCCGAGCTTCTTGTTAACGTCACATGCAAACTTGGGCTTCATAGTAAATAACATATATGGGCTGAAGATTTCTTAGTAAATGCCATGTGTGGACTGTGGGCTTCTTAGGAGACACCGCATGTGGACTGTAGGCGTCTTAGTCAATGCCACATGTGGACTGCGGGCTTCTTGTCGAGAGGGAGAGGCCGCGTATGAGAGGCAAACACAGTCTAGTCACCGCCTCACCCCATGGCCCCTGGTGGCGGCCAGAGAGATGCGCAGAAGGTCCTGCACAGGGACATGCCAAGGGGACACTGCAGGTTCCCCATGGGCAGGGACTCTCAGATGATGAGGGAAAGGCTGAGTGAGTCTGTGTGCCATTCTTCCTCAGAGAAGAGAATGACAAACTTTCTTGCAGACACTTCAAAGGGATCGCAGTGCTAGCCTGGATGCTCTCCATTTAAAATGACAGAAACATCCACCTTACCTGCCATCAGTGCTCACTTTCCTTACTTTTGCCCTAAGACATCCATGAGACTGAGGAAGTGGGGAGCACTGTTCTGTCTCCCTACACCTGAGATGTGCTGGCTGTGTGGCAACATTTGCCTGTTTGGGGCTGGAGAGTCGTAAACGGAGGAGGAGCAGCAGTCTCCAGGGGACACTTTAGGGCATGTCATTGTCCCCAGGCTTTTTGTTAGTCAGTTTTCCTCTGCCCATCGAGCACCAACTGAGTGCAGTCCTGGTCCTGGGCCGCGGAGACATGGTCTGAGAAAGCACTTCTGTTGAGTGGGAGGTGCTTCTGGATTGAGGTCTGCCGTTTTGGCGCCCGGTTGATTGTGGTGTGAGGTTAACTCAGCCACCTACGTTCTCTTGCCGACTGCCTCCCTGAGGGGTGTCGTAGCAGAGGGAAGTAAAAGCAACCAGCTTCCTGCAGCCCGGCCTGGCCATTTGGTCACGGCATCAGAGCCCCATTTTTGCGCTTGTTACCAGTGGTTTTGGTGTTTTTCCTTTTTGTCTTTACCTGTCAGTGTTTCTTCAGAGACAAAGGGAGGGAGGAGATCACCCCCCTCAGCTTTCCTTTTCTAACCTGGCTTTCGAGCACCTGGCTTGAAAGGATGCACAGAGTGCTAGGAGCTATGGGAGGACTTGGAGGTTTTTCAGAAGAGTTTTGGTTTTCGTTTGTAACTTGAGTATTATGTTTCTGTACTCTTCAGTTGACATAGTTTACCGGTTGGAAAACCCTTAGACTTTGGACTAGCCTCTTTCTTGAATGGAATCTGGTGCTAATTTACTTGCATTAATTGAACGGTTCCTCGGGATAAGTGCTGTTTTGGCTAATCTTTCCATTTTCCAATTCCAGTCGATCCCATCAAGGTCCTGATGCCATCACTGTCTCCCACGATGGAAGAGGGAAACATCGTGAAGTGGCTGAAGAAGGAAGGTGAGTGAGGCCATGACTGGCATCCTGCGGGCAGTTCTCTGATCATTGTGTACCACATAACGTGATGTTTGTTCATTAGTCAGTGGGAGTTTAGTTAAATAACATGTTCCCATGCCAGCGCAGCAGGGGTGTTCGGGTTCAGCCTGTATCTTTTCACAAGCACAGAATCATGAAAATCTCTTAAGGTTTGTCCCCAAGTCTTAGCCCTTATACCCAGCCCTCGATTTCAACATCACGAACTTGTCAGTTACCACTATCCCAATTCTGTGTGTTTTCCTAGAGCTAGGCAAGTTGATTATAAATGTCACTGGAAAGAACAAATGAGTAAGTATATGAGGAAAACCCTTGGAAGAAGAGCAAGGGAGAAGGACTGGAGCCCTCCTGATTATTGACACATATTCTTAAGCCTCATAATTGAAACTGTGGGGTTGGTGCTTAAAAAGAAAGACCGGTGGAACCAAATAGAAAATGAGGAAGTAGGTGCAGTTGCCCATGGGGGCTGAGGGAAAAATCAAGGAAGACAGCGTTAGAGTTACTCTTCGTGTCTTGCCAAGGACGAATTGCCAATGCATCAGATACTTCATATGGAAGCATTGGCGGATCTGGTGACGAACATACACTTTTACGTGGCTGAAAACTCAGCAAGCCAAGTCAATCGCAAGTGCCGGATTGGAAAAGGGTATTTGCAGTTTATGTCACAGGGCGTGATAGCCCTGAAAAATGGAGACTAAGACTGCAAACTCAGTGGGAAAATGGCAAGACGTGTGAGCAGTTGCTTTATGGAGCAAAAACTGCAAATAGCTCATACACATAGCAAACGGGGCTTTTTACCTTTGTGCTGATGAGGAAAACACACATGGTTGGCTGGAATATCATTTCTTGGCAACCTGGCTGACAGAAGTGTCAAGGCTTGCAGCTGTCTGCTGAGAGGCTGGAGGCTAGGGGAAGCAGACATCCTGCAGGTTGCTGGAAGGAGAGCCGGGACCTGTCTGGAAAAGGTGCTCCTGTTTACCCTGTCACTCCCTGAGGCCCCGTGTGACCGCTGTGGAGGCTCCCGCCAAATGTGGCAGTTCGCACCCCTGCCTGGAAGGGCTAAGAGCACTGCTGTGCTGCTTTGCAGGGCCCTCTGTGGAGGAGGCAGGTGGAGACAGGAACACTGCGTGAATCACAGGAGGGCGGTGGCACGGCTGCTTAGGAAGCTCAAATCAGCAGAGAGGGACACAGCGTGGTGGGGCATGGAGCGTGGACTTCTGATGTGTCTTCTCTGTCTCTTGGACTATGGAACCAAGTATATGTTTTGCATAATTTTAAAACTAAATTAAAATGTAAAAACCTAAAAATGAAATAGGTGATCTTACTTATACCTTGAACTGGTTGTGCAACTGTACAGAGAGGCCTATTTTAAATGTCACGAGACCTGATTACAAGTCCCAGTGGGTGACAGCTGAAGGACAGAGCATCTCCAAAAAGCAGCCCAGGCGCCTGGTGTAGTCACATCCCGCTGGCCGTGTCAGGATGATCAGCCCAGGCCCCCACGTGTGTTTTACAGACAAAGTGAGTGAGTGGTTAGGATGACATCACTGAGAACTCAGAATTTCAGTGTGGTTTAAAGGAAAAACAGGTGAAAAGTCACTCCGGTCAGGAAAGACTCTGATGGCGAATGTTTTAGCTCTTTCCCAGCAGTGCCTAGAAGCAAGGACCAGCCCAGGAGCAGCGAGCACCCCCAGGGCCCAGACTATCGTCTCCCTGGCCATGCCTACCGAGTGACGACAGCTCCTTGGAGAATGGCAGCTTCCATCTGGACAGGAAACATACAGATGAGCCGGGACTGTCTCATCTAGTCAGCAGGCAAGGACTTGGTGTGGTGCTTAGAAAACACAACTCAGAAAATGAAGTCCTGGATGGGGCCTGCCACGAGGCTCGGCAGATGGGACAGAGCCGAGGAGAGACTTTCTGCTGCTGCTTGTTTCTTTCTCCTCTGGTCCTCATGGTAGGCCAGTGTGGTGTGGAGCCCCCGGGCACTGGGCACAGAGTAGCCTCCCTTGGCATTGAAGTAGCCATCTTTCCCTGTGCATGATGCATTCCGCACCAGGTTAAGCTCCTGTGAGGAGGGAGTTGGAATCTCCAGTCCTGTCCAGGATTGTCAGGCGGACATGTTTGCTGGGCAAGGGCCCCTCGGCATCCTGCGTCTCCTGGAGGAGTCGGACGCCAGAATGGAGCAGAGGCGTGGCCTGAGCAGGACTTGTCAACCCAAAGGTGATCCCTGCCCTCAAGTTTGTCCAGGTGAGCTGCAGTGGGCGCGTCAGAGTCAGCGATGTGATTCCGGGAGGTCTAGCCTTGCCTATGTCCCATTTCCAGTGACGGTGAGTGTGGACTCAGGAGAAGGCTGGCAGGCATTGTCTGGAGAACGCTCGACAGATGAGTCAAGGAGCCTTGGATAAGGCCCAGGCTCTTTGAGAGAGTCTTAGATTCCTGTGGACTGGACGATGGATGGGAGGCAGCCAGTGAGACAGGAGCCGAGCTGGTCCTCAGCGCCCAGGAGCCCGAGGCTGGTCCTCGACCGCCCTGATCTGCTGAAAACTTCTTCGTTCTGTTCCTCAAGGGGAGCACTTGTGAGTGTTTTAGTGTGTTTCCTGTCCCCGTGGTGACAGGTGTAGGAGTGGGCCTGCCCAGCACTGCGGCTGGTTTCTTTACACATAGACCTGCCAGAGGAAGGACAAGCAATGTATTTGACAGGGACCTGGACGGCTCACAGGGAGAGGATTTGAGTTGCTCATTGTAGAGTAAATGGGCTCTTAGGACAGGGAGATGGGGGGCCGTCCAGGTGAGTGAGCAGAGGGGCCGAGTCTCAGGAGGGAGGAGGGCGTAGGGCCTTTCGGCAGTGCAGCAGGCCCTGGCTCCTGGGGGACACAGTGGATAGGGGGTAAGACAGGTCAGGGAAGGGGCTTCAGTACAGCCTGTGGTTTGTCAGTCTGTGGGATCCTCACCTGCAAGCCCTGATATCTGCGCTCGTAGTGATTTAACAAAGCGCTGCTGGTTGCGCTGCTGGTTGCACTGCGCTGTTCAGAACACCCAGAGGGTGACTGGGCAGTGTTGGTAGCCCCCTGCCTAGGCCCGTCTGAAGAGCCAGCGCTGAGGACTTCTGGGCAGTGTGGCCTGATCATGTGGGGTAAGCCGTCCGCTCATACTGGATGTGATGCTATGAAACAGCTCTCTCCATGCAGGCAGCCTGAGCCAGGACGGAGGCAAAGGTCCAATTGTCCCAGCACCTGAGCAGGGATGGGAGCAGAGGCCACGTGCACCACTGGGCCAGAGCTGGAGGTTGGAGTCGCTGACCTGGGCATGGGTGGGCTGTGGCAGGAATCAACAAGGCAGAGAGGGAAGAAGGGACATCAAGGTTAGGGTTGAATGGGATGAACCTTGAGATGCTATTGGACATCCAGGGATGTTCAGGAGACGGTTGGTTGCAGGAGGTGAAGTTCACAGTGAAGTCTGGCTTGGAGACAGACGGAGCACCATCAGCATGTGGGTAGTGACAGGCGGGTTTGTCTGGAGTAGGAATCTGTGGATAAGGGCACTTGCTCCCTCTTGGGCCTGTCCTCTGAAGCTTAGGGTTCAGATTTGTAGTACTTGATTTTCTGGGAACCCACATCCCCTGGGTTACCTGGCAGAAGCCATTCTTCTGGAAGCGTCCAGCCTCTAACTCAAACCTCACAGCATTCGCAGATCAAGTCCACTTACTGAGAGCTTGCAATCACGATTTAATCATATGCACAGGAGCACTCGCAGGAGGAAAAGTCAGCAGGCACAACATGGAGCAGGTCCAAACCCCCAAAGCCTCATTGGTTGAAATCACTGGATGTGAAAACAGACGTTTGGAATGATTGAAAATATGAAAAAAGACAGATACCATCCAGAAACCTTAGGCAGGCTTGAAAAGGAGAAGTAGAACTTCTAGTAATGAAAAATATTATCCCTAAAATTAAGAAGCAAGAAATCTTCGGGGGCGGTGGGCTAAAGTGTAATGAGACAGGATTGAGGAAAGGATTTGGGAACTGAAGAACACCCTGAAGAAATCAGCTAAACGTAGCACAGAGAAAGTTCTGAAAACTGTGAGAGATGTGGAGACATGACAGATGAAATGAAGACCCCCGAGGAATCCACTGGGAGGGATCTCAGAGGAGAAAAAGAGGGGAGGGGAAGAGGTCAAAAGGGTAGAGAGTGTTCTAGAATCTCAGAAAGAGACGTGTCCTGTCCATGGAAGAGCCACAGCCCCACTGGGAAGTGCTATGAGCACTTGACTCTGTGGCTGCCACCACCTTTTACAGTGGTATAAGTATCCAGGATGTTTTGCCCTTAAAATGATGAATCTGTTGGAGTCTTTTCTTAGGTTCCTTTTCCCTAGAGCCTTGGCTGTTTTCATATTTCATATGACAGGGCGTTGCTGTCATTAAATAATGAGTCAGACACAGGACAGCCTTTTAGCGATTACTTTTAAAAGATTAGGTTTCTTCACACATTGAGAATTTATAGGCAGTAGTTAGAGGTTTCCTGGGCTGTGTTTACCCCTCAGCCATCCAGCTCATGGGCCATCTGGCAGTCCCCTTACATCTGCTAGAATGGGACAGATGATAGAGCCGGCCATGTGGCCTCATCCTTCTGCCTTTTCTCCTTCACTATACCGCACTGTCTCCCTGGGGACAGGCCAGCCACATTTGAAGCCCGGAGCACGTTGCCTAATGGGTTGCTCTGAATGTGGTGTCCGCCGATGGAGGATTTGCCGACGGGGGATTTACTGAGACGCTGGGAGCAGTCTTCCCCCCGGTTCCTGGCAGATTACCAGCTCCCTTAAGCTGGTCGTCTGTGTGCTTCAGTTGTGGTTTGCTGCTTCTCGCTAACACCTGTTAGCCGAACACACAGGATCAACCGTGTGTCCAAGCACGCCAGTGCTTGCTACAGCTTGATAACTTGGTTCAGTCATTTCATATTAAAAACAAGTT